GGACAGCAACACAGCACAGTCAACCTTCAGGGCCCTAGTGTGAATTGGCTCGGGGAAACCTCAACGCCTTCATTTTTTTTTTAAAGACTTCACTTTTATACCCACTTAGCAGACTTTTGATGAGTCCTGGGCCAGGTATGGAGCACCCAAGTCTCAAGGTCGATCTGGGCCCAGAGTGTGAATGCGAGGAAGTTGGGGAGCCATGGGTGCACGCTCACAGTTTTATGAAACACCAGCTTTCATGTCCCAGGACCTTTGCATCCACCAGTTCTCTGCTGGGCTTCTCTTCCTAACAAACTCCAACTCATCCTTTAAGTCCCACTCCAATATCCCCTCCTCTGACCCCAATCTCCCACCACTCAATTCCCCTTGAGATTTCCCCATTCTCCTCGTCCTTCCCTTCTCAGACCTGCTCACCTGAGTCTGTGCCCAGAACTGCCTCTCTCATCAGACAGAGAGATCCCCAAGGGCAGGGTGGAGACACAGACACATACTCCTGCCAACATGGTGCCTGGCACGAGCTGGGTACACAGGAGGCTGATTGTGTGTCTATAATGCCCAGCTAATGTCCCCTGGGGACCCTGCTTTCCCCAGGCTACAGAACACACATTCCTTCACCTGGCCTCTGAGAAGTCCTCTTACCTGGCTTGGGAGGAAGATCCTTGTAGGGTGGCGCCATGTTCTCATAATCATCACCATCCTCCTCCTCCTCCTCCTCTCTGGTCCCTTCCAGAGGAAAGGCAAGTGAGAGCCCAGCCCATTCCCTCTGTCCCTCAGGCCCTAGTTTCCAGCCACAGGGTGGGGAATACTGTAATCTGGGTCCCGACCATCCCTGGCCCCCAGCTCAAGCCTGGCCAGGGCCATACCTGGCAGGTCCTGGCACCCAGAGTTGGTATACATGTACATGGTTGCAGCTCACCCAGGAGCCTGAGAGGGAGAGGCAGAGCTGGACAGCTTCTGCCTCCTATACCTCCTGCTCAGGTGCCTGGGGCTCTCTCAGTTCCCTTTTTCGTCAAAAGTCAAGTACATGCAAATCCACCTTAAGGGAAACCACCCAAACCACACACACACACACACACACACACACACACACACACACACACACCCCTTTCTCCTAGTTTGGATTCATGCACAGGAGTGACAAAGACAGCAACCCCTACATTCGAGTGCGAGGCCCTGGGTGGAAAAGATGGATAAGCTCCTTCCTTCAAGGAACTTTCCATCAAGACAAGACAGACACTGAAATAGCATAAACATAGAAATAAACAATATGGTTTGGTTTTTTATTTTATTTCCAGTAGTCACTAAGCATTATTTAAAAATAAAATTAGGGGCGCCTGGGTGGCTCAGTCGTTAAGCGTCTGCCTTCGGCTCAGGTCATGATCCCAGGGTCCTGGGATCGAGTCCCACATCGGGCTCCCTGCTCTGCGGGAAGCCTGCTTCTCCCTCTCCCACTCCCCCTGCTTGTGTTCCTGCTCTCGCTATGTCTCTCTCTGTCAAAAAAATAAAATCTTAAAAAATAAAAATAAAAAAAAAATAATCAAGTATTTTTATTTTTTCCAAGTTTTCCAGGTTTATTTTTTTCCAGGTTTATTTTTATTTTTTCCAGGTTTACTGGCACCTCCTTGCTCCCCAGTCTCCTTGCTCCCTGTTTATAATTAACAGATAAAAGTTGTACAACATGATGGTTTGATCTACATATGCATTATCCCCTTTACTTCTGGAAGCTTTCTCTTCTGTTGGTTTTCTTGGTACTGCACTATCCTATAAGGGCGATCAACTCATCCCAGTTTGCCCAGCACTTTCCATCTTCAGCACTGAGAGTCCCATGTCCCAGGAACCCCTCCATCCCAGGCAAACTAGAACCACATCACAAGCCTGTCTTCCCCTGTTCCAGAGTGTCTCAATTTGGGTTCCCCCAAGAGCAAACACTGAGACAAGGATTCAAGTGTAAGTAGTTTTTTGGAGGTGATCCCCAGAAACACCAGCAGGAGGGTGAAGAAGTGAGTCAGGGAAAGAAAGGCAGCCAGTACAAGATGTGTTCAAAGATGTGTTATCGAACAGGCTACCACTGCAGGCAATGGAAGCTCAATCCCAGTAGGGACCTCTGGGTGAGCACAGGGACACACTTCAAACTCATCTCATCTGAGGGGTGAGGGAGCTGGGGTATGTGTACACTAAGTCCAGGCTTTGGCTGAGAGCCCTTCCAGAAAGCATTTCCCTGCTAGCCCTTCTCACCTGCCATGTGCCAGACCAGGAAGACTCTGGTGGCAGCTGCTGGCCATTAGAAGTAGCTGAAAATATGAGGATCAAGGATCTAAGTAGGCCATGACCACATCTGCTGCACACAAGATTCCATTCTTGAACTTCAGCAAGAGTTCATGAACCACCTAAATCTAAATGTGTTCAGGGGCACCTGGCTGGCTCAGTCAGCAGAGCATACGACTCCTGATCCCAGGGTTGGGGTTTCGAGCCCCACACTGTGTGTAGAGATTACTTAAAAACAAAAAATCTTAATAAATAAATAAATGTATGGGGGTACCTGGGTGGCTCAGTCAGTTAAGCATCTGACCCTTGATTTTGGCTCAGGTCATGATCTCAAGGTCCTGGGATCGAGCCCCGTGTCGGCTCCAAGCTCAACAGGGAGTCAGCTTGAGGATTCTCTCTCTCCCTCTGCCCCTCCCCTTGCTTGCGTGCTTTCTCTCTGTCTCTCTAAAATAAATAAATCTTTTTTAAAAATTTTAAATAAATAAATGTGTTCATAAGCATTTTTTCTTCCTCAGCTCTAGGTATTAATAACTCCATCTTTCCTGTTGATTAAGTTGAAAACTTTGGGGTAATTCTTTACTCCTCTTTCTCTCACACCCCACATTTGATCCATCTTCAAAATAGATTAATTTTCTTCCTAGCTGGTCCCTTTCCTCTCTCACCTGCATTATCATAATAGCCCCAGGAGAGCCACACAGATTATTATCAATAGACCCAGAACTCCATTCCTAGTCCCCTACCTCAGCCCAGGATGTCTGTTCCACCACACCACTCAGGTCCCTTCCCATAATTGCCAGCCAAGATAAGAACTACAAGGTTGGGGTCCTCAGGGATAATTCAGGTTTACAGACAGTCCCTTGAAAGGTGGCAGGTGCTACAGAAAGAGATCAACCATTGGAGGCACAGATTGAGTCCAAATATCAGCTCTGCAACTTATCCACTCAATGACAATGGGCAAGGCTCAGTTTCCCCAGCTATAAAATGGGGTTGGTAATTGTTCCAATCTCACAGAGTCATTGTGACGATTCAGTGGGAGCTACTGTTTCTATCTAGCGCACAATACACGCTTGATAAATCGTGGTTTTTGTTATTTTTATCCACCAAGAATGCCCAACCTTTGCTCCCCTGGACCCAAAGTGGTAAAGGGGACCTCCTTCACCCTTATCTCTCTACCTAAAATTAGACAATCATGAGACATGTGTAAGGGAGATAAGTTTGAGCCAGCTCCACTGTGGAACGCCCCCCGCATGACTCAAAGACGTGACCACAGCTCCATTTCCCCATTTTTCAACACACTGGGGGAAGATAAAGTTTCCTCTTCTGAGATGCAGAAATTTCCCCCGACCCAGATAAAGTCACTTGGACCAATGACCCCTGGGTAGAGGGCTTAGAACAGGATGCCCACCCACTCTGCAGTCTATAGGATACATGGGGGGCTGGTTTCAGTACTGGTGAGTTGGGGCAGGTATGGTGGTGGGAGGAGACAAATAGAGATGGGAACGGGAAATGAAGTGAATGCTAACCTCCCCCACTACCCCTCTGCTCAGAACCTCCTTGTCATAATCACCTGCTCTCAGTCAATGCAAGGATTCTGCTACTCATCAAGGGTTCTGCTACTCATCAATTGTTGATCAATAAATTGATCAGTTTGGAGAATGTCTACCTACCTTTGGATACAATTCAGGGATTGTCCAAAGGGATTGCCGTGTTGCGTTGTGTTCAGCTGCAGGGTAGTACCAGCCCCCAAGGGGGTGCTTTTCATTGTCATAATCACTGGAGGAACATCAGTCAATTAGTGGGTATTAAAGGCTGAATTGCATCTCCCCCAAAATCCGTGTTGAAGTCCTAACCCCCAGTATGTCAGATGTGACTGTATTTTGAGGTAGGGTCTCTGAAGAGGTAATTAATGAAAATGAAGTCATTACAATGGGCCCTAATCCAATATGGTCTGTGTCTTTATAAAATGAAGAGATTAGGACACAGATACACATAAGGGGAAGTCCATGTGAAGACACAGGGAGAAGGGGGTCATCTGGAAGTCAAGGAGAGACGCTTCCCCAGAAACCAACCACTTCGACACCTTGATCTCAGACATCAGCCTCCAGAACAGTGAGACAATACATTTCTCTCATTTAAGCCAGTCTATGGTGCTTTATTATGGCAGCCCCAGCAAACCAACACAGTGGTCAAAGACCACGCCGTGAACTTACATCTTGAGTTCTAATATTGCAAGAGCTAATAGCCCAAGAAGGTCTGCTCAGAAATGAACCGCGTCTCCAGTGAATCACCTGCTACAGACTGGATTATGGGCCCTCACCCAATTCATTTGTTAAATCCTAACCCACAGTGTGATGGGCCTTTGGGAGGTGATTAGGTCATGAGGGTAGAACTCTTGTGCCCTTATAACAGGGACCCTAGAGAGCTTTCACCCTTTCCAGCATGGGAGAACACAGCAAGAAGATGGCCATCTACGAATCAGAAAGTGGGCCCTCGTTACACATTATGCCTTGATCTTGGACTTTCCAGCTTCCAGAATTTCAATAAATAAACCTCTGTTGTTTATAAGCCACTCAGTTTACAGTTTTCTGGTATAACAGCCTGAACAGACTAAGACACCATCCGACTGAACAAGCCCACGGGGCGCCTGGGTGGCTCAGTCAGTTAAGCGTCTGCTTTTGGCTCAGGTCATGATCTCTGGATCCTGGGATTGAGCCCCACGTCGGGCTCCCTGCTCAGCAGGGGAGTCTGCTTCTCCCTCTGCCTCTGCCCCTGTTTGTGTGCACTCTCCCTCACTCACTCTCTCTCCCAAATAAATAAATAAAATCTAAAAAAAAAAAAACAAGCCCTCAAATCCTCACCCTAGAAACGCTCTCACTTGCACCCAAGGGGACTTGCAACATCCAAGCTCCTGGTTCCATCTTAGGTGTATCCATGTCGGCTCATGGAGAGGCAGTCTTCCGTGGAAGGGCAGAAGGTTCTCATCCCCAAGAGCCAAGGAGCACTGGGTATGGACCCACACCCACCCTCAGCTGTGAGGTTCAACAGGAACACTTCCGCTCACAGATCCAATATGTAGTCTTGTCACAAGAGAGGTCATTCCAGGTGCCACCTTTGTTCATGCTGGCACAATCCTCGTCATAGATGTTGTTGGGTTCCTCCGGGTCCCAAAAGCTGGAGGGAGGAAAAGTGGGCATGGGGAGGGATGAATAGGCGGAACTCAGGGGTTTTCAGAGCATTATATGTGATACTGTGACAGTGGATACATGACATCATACATTTGTCAAAACTCGTAGAATGCACAGCACTTGGAATGAACCCTAATATAAACTATGGACTTTAGTTCATAATAATGTATCCATACTGGTTCATCACTTGTAACAAATGTGCCACACAGAATGCAACAGGTTAATAATAGGGGAAATTATGTGCAGGAGAGAAGGAATATATGAAACATTTCTCTGTACCTGCTGCTCAAATTTTCTGTAAAAAATAAAGTCTATTAATTAAAGAAAGAATATGGAGGGGGGAGAGAAGGCAAGGTCTTCATGGCTCAAGGCTCTTCCATCCTAATCATTTCTTCAGCTTTTCAGAATTATCTGAAGCTGCCACATTATCCCCTTCACCCCAGCTTGTCTGCCTTAACTCAGCCCCACCTCCCCGTTCGCCAGGACAGTCTCCTGCTCCTGAATCCGTTTCCTGCATCTGGTCAGTTTCTGCCTCCTCTTACAAAGAACCCTTCCTTCACCCCTGCAATCCTCCCAACCTTCCAGGTCTTGTAGTGTCTTAGATCACATTCCCTTAAAGCAGAGCCTGATTTGGCAATTCAGGTGCATGGAATTTATTAAGAGATGCTCTCAGGAGAGAAGGAGTGGGAGAAGCAGGATGGGGCAGGGAGAGGAGTTGAGCAGAGATGTGGGTTCAGTCTGGTCTAGCCTCAGCCTGATCCGACAGGGAGCTGCGGAGTATGAATAACACCACAGAGTTATCTCGACTTGTGACAAGGAATCCAGGCTTCTCTCAGCCACTCATTGGCTATGGGCTGACCCCACTGGGAGTGGAGTAACCTTCTAGCTGAGCAGGCCTCCAATGGACTGAGGACAACTCTCCAGAGAAAGCATAACCATGAGCCTTTAGCAGTCAGTGCCCCCTACTGGAGGAGGGCTGCACCCGCCCCACGAAGGGGTCTGAGCTGAGCACCCATAGCACCACACTATGCCACGCCTTCTCTATTCACAGAGCTGTGCCTTCTTCCAGGAATCTTTTTTTTATTTTTAAGATTTTTATTTATTTATTTATTTATTTATTTATTTATTTATTTATTTATTTATTTATTTCAGAGAGAGAGAGCACAAGCGGGAGGGGCAGAGGGAGAGGGAGAGACGATCTCAAGCAGACTTCACACTGAGTGTGGAACCAACAGGGGGCTGGATCTCACAACCTTAAGATTATAACCTGAGCTGAAATCAAGAGTCATTTAACCAACTGCACCACCCAGGTGCCCCATTCTTCCAGGAATCTTTAATTCAAAATGAGATCCCCTGTCAGGACACTAATATCTCTAATATATAAAGAGCTCTGAAAAATAAATAAGAAGGAATGCCTGGGTGGTTCAGTCAGTTAAGCGTCTGCCTTAGGCTCAGGTCATGATCCCAGGGAGCCCCATATCAAGCTCCCTGCTCAACGGATAGCCTGCTTCTCCCTCTCCCTCTGCTGCTCCCCCTGCTTATGCTCTCTCTCTCTGTCAAATAAATAAATAAATAAATACAATCTTTAAAAAAAGAAATAAAAATGAGGCACCTGGGTGGCTCAGTTGTTAAGCATCTGCTTTCGGCTCAGGTCATGATCACAGGGTCCTGGGATCGAGCCCTGCATTGGGCTCCCTGCTCTGCGGGAAGCCTGCTTCTCTTTCTCCCACTCCCCCTGTTTGTGTTCCCTCTCTCACTGTGTCTCTACCAAATAAATAAATAAAATCTTTTTAAAAAAATAAAATAAATAAGAAATAAATAAGAAGAAAATCTCAATATAAAAATATACCAGTGATATGAACAAACACTTCACAGAAAAGTTAATACCTGTGGCTATTAAACATATGAGAAGATACCCAATCTCAGTCATTATAAGAGAAATGCAAATTAATACTATATTGTGATTCCATTTTCACCTACAATTAATCCATCAAAAATTATAAAAGTTAGATGAATTTTTGATGAAGAAAAATAGCCAAGCCAGTGAAAGAATAAATTGGTATAACCACTATGGGGGACAATTTGTTAACATTTACCTAAATATAAATATGTACATTCCTTGAGAAAGTAAAGTATAATGGCTAAGAGTATAGACTTTACTTTTTTAAGATTTTTTTTTAAATTTATTTGAGAGAGAGAGCACAGAGTGAGAGTGAGAAGGAGAAGCAGACTCCCTGCTGAGCTGAGAGCCCAACACAGGACTCGATCCCAGGACCCTGGGATCATGACCTGAGCAGAAGGCAGACGCTTAACTGACTGAGCCACCAAAAGTATAGACTTTAAAGTTAGGTTGGTTGGCAATACTACCTGCTAGCTCTCTCACCCGAGGCAAGTTGGTTAACCTCTCTGTGCCTCAGTCTCCTCATCTTTAAAATGGAGATGACAAGAAATAGGATAAAATAAAATGGAGATGATAATAGTACTTTCCTTACAGGATTATTAAAAAGATTAAACAAATGGGTTAATATATGTAAAGTGCAGAGAGTCAGAGACAGAGACACAGAGACACAGAGATCCTGCTCATCCTCTTGGCAAATCAAAAGCTTCCTCTTCCTTCTGCACTGTCGCCACCCTTCCTTTCTTTTTTTCCCCGCAGCCATTGACCTGGGGACCTGATGTATTTGAGCAGTTGGGCTGAAAGGAGGAGATGTTGCAATGGAGGAAAATTTAAAAGGTACAGGGACCAGAAGCCCTACCGGCAAAAAAGCACCCTTGAGCCTCCTCTATCCAGCCTGGTCTGGGGTTCTAGAGAATCTTCTGGCTCGGATTGCACAAAGACCCACAGGGAGCAGAGACCCAAAGAGCCCTCGATACTTGCCTCAGAGTGACAGGTGACCCATCCAGCCACTTCCAGTCCCCTTCATGTTCCCTGTCATTCAGCCCCAGCCAGTACACCCGAGGAGAGCCATGAGCCTTGGCCACAAAGTTCTGTAAGTACAAACTCCATTCAGCCATCATTTTAATTACATCAAATATAAGTGGTCTACAAACACCAATTAAGAGCCAGAAATTGTCAGATTGAATTTACAAAACGAGAGATGAACCATGAGAGACTATGGACTCTGAGAAACAAACAGGGTTTTAAGGGGGAGGGGGGAGGGGGGAGGGGGGATTGGTTAGCCCCGTGATGGGTATTAACAGGAGTGCACGTACTGCATGGAGCACTGGGTGTTGTACGAAAAGAATGGATCGTGGATCACCACATCAAAAACCAGTGATGTAGGGGCGCCTGGGTGGCTCAGTTGGTTGAGCGACTGCCTTCGGCTCAGGTCATGATCCTGGAGTCCCAGGATCGAGTCCCGCATCGGGCTCCCCGCTCTGCAGGGAGTCTGCTCCTCCCTCTGACCCTCCCCCCTCTCATGTGCTCTCTCTCTCTCTCTCTCTCAAATAAATAAAAATCTTAAAAAAAAAAAAAAACAGTGATGTATTGTATGGTGACTAACATAACATAATAAAATTTAAAAAACAAAACAAGGGCGCCTGGGTGGCTCAGATGGTTGAGCGTCTGCCTTTGGCTCAGATCGTGGTCCCAGGGTCCTGGGATCGAGTCCTGCATCGGGCTCCCTGCTCCTTGGGAGCCTGCCTCTCCCTCTGCCTCTCTCTCTCTCTGTCTCTCATGAATAAATAAATAAATAAATCTTTAAACAAAACAAAACAAAACAAGACCCATCTATATGCTGCCGACAGGAAATCCACTTGAAAATAAAGACACAGATAGATTAAAGTAAAAAGGTGGGGAAAGATAAACCATGCAAACATCTGGGCTCAAATCCCAGTTCTGACACTCGCTAGCTGTAAGTGACCACAGGCAGGTTTCTTAAATGTATTGTGCCTCAGCTTCCTCATCTGTGAAGTACAAATAGTATGTACTGTGTACAAATTTTGCTATCTAACCATGGTAGCATCAAATCATTGCAGTTCCTTACAAAATGCCAATTCCCCTCCACGGGTGGAATTATTTCCCCACCACCTAAAAGCAGAGGAGGACCTACGTGACTTGCTTTGTGAGTACAAATAAGTGGAAGCTTTCAGAGTTGCCCCTTAACTTTCACCCTTGAGTTACAGGGGCTGTCTGTTATTTCAGCAGAACATAACCTCTCCTGACTCACACACTAAGTAACAGGGTTGTTGTAAGGATTATGTTAATGTAAGATATAAGACATCCGGAATGCAGCCTGGAGAATAGAAAGTGCTAAGAGGGCGCCTGAGTGGCTCAGTTGGTTAAGCGACTGCCTTCGGCTCAGGTCATGATCCTGAGTCCCGGGATCGAGTCCCGCATCGGGCTCCCTGCTCAGCAGGGGGTCTGCCTCTCCCTCTGACCCTCCCCCCTCTCATGTGCTCTCTCTTTCTCATTCTCTCTGTCTCAAATAAATAAATAAAATCTTTAATAAAAAAAAAAAAAGAAAGTGCTAAGAGATAGCCATTATTATATCTCCAGGTTAGAGAAAAAACTGAGACTCAGGATAAGAAACACAATCAGGATTTAAACTCAAGTAGAGTATGTCCTCTCAACCTTGCTATTAAAAGTCTTAGTGGCTCAAAAGCAATTCCAATTTCTCTCCATCCAGACCAGGGAAGGATATGTGATTCCCACTGATTCTCAAGGGCTTGGAAGGGACAGATCACCTGTTCAGCAAAGCTACTGATGATGACCAAGTGAGAGTAATTCTCCTGGCAGAACTTCCGGGCTTCATCCCATGACTTGGTGGTTGGGGAGAAGTAGTAACACTTCCCCTCAAAGGGTAGCCAACCCTCTGGGCAGGTGACCTTGGTACAGTCTGGGGACAGAATAAGATGCTGTCAGAATGGCCCCAGAGCCAGGGTCATGTACATGGTGTCCCATATACAGTTGTGCAGGCTGTGCAAAGCTCAATTCCAGGGGGCACCATTCAGACAGACTGCAGTGAGAATTGTCCCCCATGGATTTGTGCAATGTGCCAGCTCTGTCATGCCCCCCATCTCAGGGCAGTTCCCCAAGTTCCACTCACCTAATAAGCCCCGAAGTTTTACTAGGGACTGGTTGGTGTAAGTTCTTATGTGGTCAATGTCCTTCTTCAGGCCAGCTATCCCCGCCATGCCAGTCACTGTCAGTAGAGATGGGCTGGAAGGTTAGAAACCCAAACCCCCATCTACCCACCCACCCACCACTGACTGCAAACACACAAGACAGAAGCAAGATCTGTGCCCCCCACTGCACCCTCTTTCTAGTGAGTGGTGCTAGAACTCAAAATGATATGTGCAGTGCCTAGAGAGAGTCCTAGAGTGGCTCAGAGGAGGAACTGATCTCTGAGCCTTGGGGAAGAGTGGAGATGGTGGACTATCCAGAGGAAGATGGTAACTCAGTATCTGTGAGAGGGAGAGAGAGCCTCCACAGGCAGGGGCCACCTTGGAAGCCAAGATAGAGAGGCAAGTGTGTTGGGGAAGGCTGAGGCAGTAGAGGTCAAGGCAAACCTCACAGGAGCTAAAAAGCTCAAAGTAGGATGAGGTCTGATGTCCAAGTCCTTGAATGCTAAGCCAAGAGTTTCATGTTGGAAATGTTGGAGAGGTTGTGGAGAAAGGGGAACCCTTTTACACTGTTGGTGGGAATGCAAGTTGGTATAGCCACTTTGGAAAACAGTGTGGAGGCTCCTCATAAAATTAAAAATAGAACTACCCTATGACCCAGCAATTGCACTTCTGGGTATTTACCCCAGAGACACAGATGTAGTGAAAAGAAGGGCCATATGCACCCCAATGTTCATAGCAGCAATGTCTGCAATAGCCAAATTGTGGAAAGAGCCGAGATGCCCTTCAACAGATGAATGGATAAAGAAGATGTGGTCCATATATACAATGGAATATTACTCAGCTATCAGAAAGGATGAATACCCAACTTTTACATCAACATGGATGGGACTGGAGGAGATTATGCTAAGTGATATAAGTCAAGCAGAGAAAGTCAATTATCATATGGTTTCACTTATTTGTGGAACAGAAGGAATAGCACAGAGGACATTAGGAGAAGGAAGGGAAAAATGAAGGGGGGGAAATCAGAGGGGGAGATGAGCCATGAGAGACTATGGACTCCGAGAAACAAACTGAGGGTTTTAGAGGGAAGGGGGGGTGGGGGATGGGTTAGCCCGGTGATGGGTATTAAGGAGGGCACATACTGCATAGAGCACTGGGTGTTATATGCAAACAATGAATCATGGAACACTACATCAAAAACTAATGATGTAATGTATGGTGATTAACATAACATAATAAAAAAAAATCTAAAAATAAAAATAAAAATAATTAAAAATAAAAAATAAATACATAAATAAACTAATGATGTACTGTATGGTGACTAACATAACATAATAAAATTAAATTTTAAAAAAAGAGTTTCGTGTTGGACTCTGGGCAGTGCGAAACCATCAGTGGGTTTTGAGCAGAACAGTGGCTTGATCTGAGATGTGCAGAGAAGGCATGCACATATAATGGAACAATTTTCAGACTTCAACAAACATGGTGAAGGCTGTGCCAGCCCAGAAGACTTTGCTACAACTAATGTGTGTATTCCCACTAATCCCACACAAAAGCGCCCTCTTCCAGCTTGACATCCTTCCCTCTTACTGCCATTCCCAGTCCATCTCTAGGTCCAGTCACTTTTACCTCCTAAACCTTTCTGCTCTACCCACTTCTGTTCATCTTCATGGCCACAACTCTCATCCAAGCCACCATCACCTCTCACCTGTCCAACTGCACCATCCTCTTCCCTTGTACTTATGATGTTGCCTCTTACCACAGGGCCTTTGCATATACCTGAAACCCTCAACCTCTCATGTGATTAATTTTTTCTCTTCCCTCAATCAACTGTAGCGCTCTTTCCCTAGGGAAGCCCTGTATGGCCCTCCCAAAGATAGGGTCAAGATCCCTAACTAGATTTTTTTCATAGAATGATCTTCCTTTGGACTATTCATTGAGATTTGGAATTGTATGCTCATTTGACTGATAATTTGGTAAATGGCTCTCAGTACCTGCCTGTGCTGTCCAACAGAAATAAAATATAAACCACATACATAAATTTAAATGTTCTAATGGCCATGTTTTCTAAGAGTCAAAAGAAGCAGGCAAAATTAATTTGAATGTTATTTCTTTACTTATGCCAATATATCCAAAGTATAATTTCAATGAGTAATCAATATTAAAGATTATTATTATTAATATTGTTGAGATATTTTACATTCTTTTTCTGTAGCAAGTCTTTGACATTGGTGTATATTTCACAATTACAGCACATCTCAGTTCGGAATGACCACACTGCAAGTGCTCAATAGCCAGTGACTCATGGCCACCATATTGGACAGTGAAGGTCTAGACACACATGCACACAAACATGCACACACACTCCACAGGAACAGGAACTGTGCCGGATGTGTTCACTATCCTACCCATGCCCCAATACCTAACACAAGACTTGGCAAAGATGGGATTGGAAGTGGTCTTGGAGTTGGGTTTGAGGGGTCATGTTGGGTGTTCAATATGGATGGCATGAAGGGACAATTGAAAGCACTCACCATTTGCTTGCCACGCCATCTGCTGAAAGGTTAATATCTTTAGCTCTTCCACCATCTCCTGGTCTATGAGGAAGAATCCATCTTGAGCCCAGTCCTTCCATGCCCAATGCTCAGTTTCTCCCCATGCCCCATCCTCTTCTTACTCACACTTAATCAGGGTCACAGCCAGACCAGTGCAGCCCAGGAGCAGTGACACCACCACCAGCAGGCACAGGTACACCACCAGTCTCTCCTCCTGGTAGCACCCAGGACACCTGGACTTCTGACTGAGGTGGGTCACTGGAGTTACTGGGGGATGAGGACGGGGACAGAGAGACCAATATTGGTGCTTCAGAGAGTGAGGAAGAGACACTTGAGCCTCTCTCCAAAAGCAGAGGGACCGAGATCCGTGGTCATGACTGTATCACCAGATGGGGTCAGCAAGAGAGGGTCAAGGGAAAAGAACCCTGAAGAAGCCCAGAAGAGCACTTACTGTGCTCCAGGGCCACCCCTTTCCCAAATGTAGCCCCCTTCCCATCTCCAAACGAAGCCACACCTCCACCCCCATCTCCACTTCCAAATCCAACACCATCACTGTAACCTAACACAACTACAACCTAACCTAGAATGCTGAAGAGAACTTACTGTGTGCCAAGTATCATGTCACATCCTTATTATCTTATTGGATCCTCATCCTTATGACATAGATGTAACTATTATTCCCAATTTGCAAATAACTAACCTGAAGGCTTGGAGAGGTCATGTATGACTTGGACCCAGCACTGCTCCTAACATTTATGATGCATTATCTTGTACTCTCCAGCATCCCCTGCCCAAGCTGCTCCCCATTCCAGGATGCTTAAGGGCCTTTGCATCAGCGGCAGAGAATGCTTCCCGTACCTTATGCAAGTAGGAGGTGGGGCCTGAAGAGTATCAGGCAGACGCCCTGGGTCCCTCAGGGTCTGGTCTAGACTCAGAAAGGAAGAGCTTCTGAAAGGACACTTTTCTCTGCCCCAGGGTCTTCCTCTGGGGTCATAGGTCTGATTCAAGCATACTTGACAGGGAAGATAGGGGCCCACCTGGAGGGCATGAGGACTTACTAGCTAGGGATGACTGGAACGGAGGATGTTCCAGATTGACACCTGGGAGAAAGGGAGAGGAAAGTTTATTCAAAAGTTGTTGGGGGGAAAAGTTGCTGAAAGACTCTGTCTTCCAAGATCAACACCTCCCCCAACCCATCTGATTTGTTCTCTGGTCAGAATTGAGGAAGTGGAGGGAAGACTTCCAGGTGTCCCCTCCCAGACTTCTTAAAGGATCTTCCCACTGCTCACCCAGTTGAGGAGATGTGCGGGGGACAGGGGTGAGGTCCAGGCCTAGGGATCAGAAAGACAATGGTTATGCAGACCAGGGCTTCATCTAGGTAAACCAAAGGCCCCAGCCCTAGATTCTCACCTTTGATCTTTGGGGACTTGCAGGGAAGTGGGGGGTTCTCCATTTTCTTTCCTGGGGTGGGGAGGGGGAGGAATGGTTGCTCAGGTCCAGAGCAGGACAAAACCAGCACTGGGTCTCCTGAACCCCCAGCCCCAGCTCACCTGCTCTCGGAGGCCTTGGTGGAGCCAGTGAATCTGCAGAAGAGAAGTTCAGAATTAGAGCTGGTATGAGGGTTGGAAACAGATTGGAGGCAGCGATGGAACCAGGACTGGGACTAAAATGGAGGGCTAGGGATAGGGTTGAGCATAAGAATGTAATTGGGGGTAGGGATGGGGTTAATTGGGGGTAAGGATGGGAGTAGATGATGAGGATTAAGATAGAGTGACCGACCATCCTGGATCACCCAGGACTTGCCCAGTTTTAAAACTGGAAGTCCCACGTCCCAGGAAATCACTCAGTCCTGAGCAAACTGGGACAACTCTTCACCCTCAGTTAAAGACACAGGTGAGTTTGGGCTAGGGTTGCAGTCAAGCTGTGGTTGGGATGAGGATGGGATTGAAGATGGGTTAGGGACAGTGGTGGACATGGCATTAGGGTTGTGATTCAGGATGTGGTAGAGATAAAGATTGGGACTGGAGCTGCACTGGGGTAGGAGGAGGAAGTCACAGTTAGGTTTTAGTTGCGTTGAAGTAGGGTGATGACTTTGGATTTAGAAATAAAGATGGGGGTGGAGATTGGCTGCAATCAGAGATGGGGAGGGGGCTAACTTTGGGGAAGGGATAGCACTGATGATCAGATGGAGGAGTCCATCTTGGTGGTGGGTTTGAGAACTGGATGGGACCAAGTGGGAGCTGAGAGACAGACAAACAGCTGAGCCTAGTTCACCTCCTACCTCATTCTGGGCCCCACGGTGCCCAGGGACCTCCCAGTTTGGTCTCCGTCCAGATTAAATAGTGGTGGATGCAGCACCCACCCCTCATGGAATGGCCACTGTCCAAGGACAGCAACACAGCACAGTCAACCTTCAGGGCCCTAGTGTGAATTGGCTCGGGGAAACCTCAACGCCTTCATTTTTTTTTTAAAGACTTCACTTTTATACCCACTTAGCAGACTTTTGATGAGTCCTGGGCCAGGTATGGAGCACCCAAGTCTCAAGGTCGATCTGGGCCCAGAGTGTGAATGCGAGGAAGTTGGGGAGCCATGGGTGCACGCTCACAGTTTTATGAAACACCAGCTTTCATGTCCCAGGACCTTTGCATCCACCAGTTCTCTGCTGGGCTTCTCTTCCTAACAAACTCCAACTCATCCTTTAAGTCCCACTCCAATATCCCCTCCTCTGACCCCAATCTCCCACCACTCAATTCCCCTTGAGATTTCCCCATTCTCCTCGTCCTTCCCTTCTCAGACCTGCTCACCTGAGTCTGTGCCCAGAACTGCCTCTCTCATCAGACAGAGAGATCCCCAAGGGCAGGGTGGAGACACAGACACATACTCCTGCCAACATGGTGCCTGGCACGAGCTGGGTACACAGGAGGCTGATTGTGTGTCTATAATGCCCAGCTAATGTCCCCTGGGGACCCTGCTTTCCCCAGGCTACAGAACACACATTCCTTCACCTGGCCTCTGAGAAGTCCTCTTACCTGGCTTGGGAGGAAGATCCTTGTAGGGTGGCGCCATGTTCTCATAATCATCACCATCCTCCTCCTCCTCCTCCTCTCTGGTCCCTTCCAGAGGAAAGGCAAGTGAGAGCCCAGCCCATTCCCTCTGTCCCTCAGGCCCTAGTTTCCAGCCACAGGGTGGGGAATACTGTAATCTGGGTCCCGACCATCCCTGGCCCCCAGCTCAAGCCTGGCCAGGGCCATACCTGGCAGGTCCTGGCACCCAGAGTTGGTATACATGTACATGGTTGCAGCTCACCCAGGAGCCTGAGAGGGAGAGGCAGAGCTGGACAGCTTCTGCCTCCTATACCTCCTGCTCAGGTGCCTGGGGCTCTCTCAGTTCCCTTTTTCGTCAAAAGTCAAGTACATGCAAATCCACCTTAAGGGAAACCACCCAAACCACACACACACACACACACACACACACACACACACACACACACACCCCTTTCTCCTAGTTTGGATTCATGCACAGGAGTGACAAAGACAGCAACCCCTACATTCGAGTGCGAGGCCCTGGGTGGAAAAGATGGATAAGCTCCTTCCTTCAAGGAACTTTCCATCAAGACAAGACAGACACTGAAATAGCATAAACATAGAAATAAACAATATGGTTTGGTTTTTTATTTTATTTCCAGTAGTCACTAAGCATTATTTAAAAATAAAATTAGGGGCGCCTGGGTGGCTCAGTCGTTAAGCGTCTGCCTTCGGCTCAGGTCATGATCCCAGGGTCCTGGGATCGAGTCCCACATCGGGCTCCCTGCTCTGCGGGAAGCCTGCTTCTCCCTCTCCCACTCCCCCTGCTTGTGTTCCTGCTCTCGCTATGTCTCTCTCTGTCAAAAAAATAAAATCTTAAAAAATAAAAATAAAAAAAAAATAATCAAGTATTTTTATTTTTTCCAAGTTTTCCAGGTTTATTTTTTTCCAGGTTTATTTTTATTTTTTCCAGGTTTACTGGCACCTCCTTGCTCCCCAGTCTCCTTGCTCCCTGTTTATAATTAACAGATAAAAGTTGTACAACATGATGGTTTGATCTACATATGCATTATCCCCTTTACTTCTGGAAGCTTTCTCTTCTGTTGGTTTTCTTGGTACTGCACTATCCTATAAGGGCGATCAACTCATCCCAGTTTGCCCAGCACTTTCCATCTTCAGCACTGAGAGTCCCATGTCCCAGGAACCCCTCCATCCCAGGCAAACTAGAACCACATCACAAGCCTGTCTTCCCCTGTTCCAGAGTGTCTCAATTTGGGTTCCCCCAAGAGCAAACACTGAGACAAGGATTCAAGTGTAAGTAGTTTTTTGGAGGTGATCCCCAGAAACACCAGCAGGAGGGTGAAGAAGTGAGTCAGGGAAAGAAAGGCAGCCAGTACAAGATGTGTTCAAAGATGTGTTATCGAACAGGCTACCACTGCAGGCAATGGAAGCTCAATCCCAGTAGGGACCTCTGGGTGAGCACAGGGACACACTTCAAACTCATCTCATCTGAGGGGTGAGGGAGCTGGGGTATGTGTACACTAAGTCCAGGCTTTGGCTGAGAGCCCTTCCAGAAAGCATTTCCCTGCTAGCCCTTCTCACCTGCCATGTGCCAGACCAGGAAGACTCTGGTGGCAGCTGCTGGCCATTAGAAGTAGCTGAAAATATGAGGATCAAGGATCTAAGTAGGCCATGACCACATCTGCTGCACACAAGATTCCATTCTTGAACTTCAGCAAGAGTTCATGAACCACCTAAATCTAAATGTGTTCAGGGGCACCTGGCTGGCTCAGTCAGCAGAGCATACGACTCCTGATCCCAGGGTTGGGGTTTCGAGCCCCACACTGTGTGTAGAGATTACTTAAAAACAAAAAATCTTAATAAATAAATAAATGTATGGGGGTACCTGGGTGGCTCAGTCAGTTAAGCATCTGACCCTTGATTTTGGCTCAGGTCATGATCTCAAGGTCCTGGGATCGAGCCCCGTGTCGGCTCCAAGCTCAACAGGGAGTCAGCTTGAGGATTCTCTCTCTCCCTCTGCCCCTCCCCTTGCTTGCGTGCTTTCTCTCTGTCTCTCTAAAATAAATAAATCTTTTTTAAAAATTTTAAATAAATAAATGTGTTCATAAGCATTTTTTCTTCCTCAGCTCTAGGTATTAATAACTCCATCTTTCCTGTTGATTAAGTTGAAAACTTTGGGGTAATTCTTTACTCCTCTTTCTCTCACACCCCACATTTGATCCATCTTCAAAATAGATTAATTTTCTTCCTAGCTGGTCCCTTTCCTCTCTCACCTGCATTATCATAATAGCCCCAGGAGAGCCACACAGATTATTATCAATAGACCCAGAACTCCATTCCTAGTCCCCTACCTCAGCCCAGGATGTCTGTTCCACCACACCACTCAGGTCCCTTCCCATAATTGCCAGCCAAGATAAGAACTACAAGGTTGGGGTCCTCAGGGATAATTCAGGTTTACAGACAGTCCCTTGAAAGGTGGCAGGTGCTACAGAAAGAGATCAACCATTGGAGGCACAGATTGAGTCCAAATATCAGCTCTGCAACTTATCCACTCAATGACAATGGGCAAGGCTCAGTTTCCCCAGCTATAAAATGGGGTTGGTAATTGTTCCAATCTCACAGAGTCATTGTGACGATTCAGTGGGAGCTACTGTTTCTATCTAGCGCACAATACACGCTTGATAAATCGTGGTTTTTGTTATTTTTATCCACCAAGAATGCCCAACCTTTGCTCCCCTGGACCCAAAGTGGTAAAGGGGACCTCCTTCACCCTTATCTCTCTACCTAAAATTAGACAATCATGAGACATGTGTAAGGGAGATAAGTTTGAGCCAGCTCCACTGTGGAACGCCCCCCGCATGACTCAAAGACGTGACCACAGCTCCATTTCCCCATTTTTCAACACACTGGGGGAAGATAAAGTTTCCTCTTCTGAGATGCAGAAATTTCCCCCGACCCAGATAAAGTCACTTGGACCAATGACCCCTGGGTAGAGGGCTTAGAACAGGATGCCCACCCACTCTGCAGTCTATAGGATACATGGGGGGCTGGTTTCAGTACTGGTGAGTTGGGGCAGGTATGGTGGTGGGAGGAGACAAATAGAGATGGGAACGGGAAATGAAGTGAATGCTAACCTCCCCCACTACCCCTCTGCTCAGAACCTCCTTGTCATAATCACCTGCTCTCAGTCAATGCAAGGATTCTGCTACTCATCAAGGGTTCTGCTACTCATCAATTGTTGATCAATAAATTGATCAGTTTGGAGAATGTCTACCTACCTTTGGATACAATTCAGGGATTGTCCAAAGGGATTGCCGTGTTGCGTTGTGTTCAGCTGCAGGGTAGTACCAGCCCCCAAGGGGGTGCTTTTCATTGTCATAATCACTGGAGGAACATCAGTCAATTAGTGGGTATTAAAGGCTGAATTGCATCTCCCCCAAAATCCGTGTTGAAGTCCTAACCCCCAGTATGTCAGATGTGACTGTATTTTGAGGTAGGGTCTCTGAAGAGGTAATTAATGAAAATGAAGTCATTACAATGGGCCCTAATCCAATATGGTCTGTGTCTTTATAAAATGAAGAGATTAGGACACAGATACACATAAGGGGAAGTCCATGTGAAGACACAGGGAGAAGGGGGTCATCTGGAAGTCAAGGAGAGACGCTTCCCCAGAAACCAACCACTTCGACACCTTGATCTCAGACATCAGCCTCCAGAACAGTGAGACAATACATTTCTCTCATTTAAGCCAGTCTATGGTGCTTTATTATGGCAGCCCCAGCAAACCAACACAGTGGTCAAAGACCACGCCGTGAACTTACATCTTGAGTTCTAATATTGCAAGAGCTAATAGCCCAAGAAGGTCTGCTCAGAAATGAACCGCGTCTCCAGTGAATCACCTGCTACAGACTGGATTATGGGCCCTCACCCAATTCATTTGTTAAATCCTAACCCACAGTGTGATGGGCCTTTGGGAGGTGATTAGGTCATGAGGGTAGAACTCTTGTGCCCTTATAACAGGGACCCTAGAGAGCTTTCACCCTTTCCAGCATGGGAGAACACAGCAAGAAGATGGCCATCTACGAATCAGAAAGTGGGCCCTCGTTACACATTATGCCTTGATCTTGGACTTTCCAGCTTCCAGAATTTCAATAAATAAACCTCTGTTGTTTATAAGCCACTCAGTTTACAGTTTTCTGGTATAACAGCCTGAACAGACTAAGACACCATCCGACTGAACAAGCCCACGGGGCGCCTGGGTGGCTCAGTCAGTTAAGCGTCTGCTTTTGGCTCAGGTCATGATCTCTGGATCCTGGGATTGAGCCCCACGTCGGGCTCCCTGCTCAGCAGGGGAGTCTGCTTCTCCCTCTGCCTCTGCCCCTGTTTGTGTGCACTCTCCCTCACTCACTCTCTCTCCCAAATAAATAAATAAAATCTAAAAAAAAAAAAACAAGCCCTCAAATCCTCACCCTAGAAACGCTCTCACTTGCACCCAAGGGGACTTGCAACATCCAAGCTCCTGGTTCCATCTTAGGTGTATCCATGTCGGCTCATGGAGAGGCAGTCTTCCGTGGAAGGGCAGAAGGTTCTCATCCCCAAGAGCCAAGGAGCACTGGGTATGGACCCACACCCACCCTCAGCTGTGAGGTTCAACAGGAACACTTCCGCTCACAGATCCAATATGTAGTCTTGTCACAAGAGAGGTCATTCCAGGTGCCACCTTTGTTCATGCTGGCACAATCCTCGTCATAGATGTTGTTGGGTTCCTCCGGGTCCCAAAAGCTGGAGGGAGGAAAAGTGGGCATGGGGAGGGATGAATAGGCGGAACTCAGGGGTTTTCAGAGCATTATATGTGATACTGTGACAGTGGATACATGACATCATACATTTGTCAAAACTCGTAGAATGCACAGCACTTGGAATGAACCCTAATATAAACTATGGACTTTAGTTCATAATAATGTATCCATACTGGTTCATCACTTGTAACAAATGTGCCACACAGAATGCAACAGGTTAATAATAGGGGAAATTATGTGCAGGAGAGAAGGAATATATGAAACATTTCTCTGTACCTGCTGCTCAAATTTTCTGTAAAAAATAAAGTCTATTAATTAAAGAAAGAATATGGAGGGGGGAGAGAAGGCAAGGTCTTCATGGCTCAAGGCTCTTCCATCCTAATCATTTCTTCAGCTTTTCAGAATTATCTGAAGCTGCCACATTATCCCCTTCACCCCAGCTTGTCTGCCTTAACTCAGCCCCACCTCCCCGTTCGCCAGGACAGTCTCCTGCTCCTGAATCCGTTTCCTGCATCTGGTCAGTTTCTGCCTCCTCTTACAAAGAACCCTTCCTTCACCCCTGCAATCCTCCCAACCTTCCAGGTCTTGTAGTGTCTTAGATCACATTCCCTTAAAGCAGAGCCTGATTTGGCAATTCAGGTGCATGGAATTTATTAAGAGATGCTCTCAGGAGAGAAGGAGTGGGAGAAGCAGGATGGGGCAGGGAGAGGAGTTGAGCAGAGATGTGGGTTCAGTCTGGTCTAGCCTCAGCCTGATCCGACAGGGAGCTGCGGAGTATGAATAACACCACAGAGTTATCTCGACTTGTGACAAGGAATCCAGGCTTCTCTCAGCCACTCATTGGCTATGGGCTGACCCCACTGGGAGTGGAGTAACCTTCTAGCTGAGCAGGCCTCCAATGGACTGAGGACAACTCTCCAGAGAAAGCATAACCATGAGCCTTTAGCAGTCAGTGCCCCCTACTGGAGGAGGGCTGCACCCGCCCCACGAAGGGGTCTGAGCTGAGCACCCATAGCACCACACTATGCCACGCCTTCTCTATTCACAGAGCTGTGCCTTCTTCCAGGAATCTTTTTTTTATTTTTAAGATTTTTATTTATTTATTTATTTATTTATTTATTTATTTATTTATTTATTTATTTATTTCAGAGAGAGAGAGCACAAGCGGGAGGGGCAGAGGGAGAGGGAGAGACGATCTCAAGCAGACTTCACACTGAGTGTGGAACCAACAGGGGGCTGGATCTCACAACCTTAAGATTATAACCTGAGCTGAAATCAAGAGTCATTTAACCAACTGCACCACCCAGGTGCCCCATTCTTCCAGGAATCTTTAATTCAAAATGAGATCCCCTGTCAGGACACTAATATCTCTAATATATAAAGAGCTCTGAAAAATAAATAAGAAGGAATGCCTGGGTGGTTCAGTCAGTTAAGCGTCTGCCTTAGGCTCAGGTCATGATCCCAGGGAGCCCCATATCAAGCTCCCTGCTCAACGGATAGCCTGCTTCTCCCTCTCCCTCTGCTGCTCCCCCTGCTTATGCTCTCTCTCTCTGTCAAATAAATAAATAAATAAATACAATCTTTAAAAAAAGAAATAAAAATGAGGCACCTGGGTGGCTCAGTTGTTAAGCATCTGCTTTCGGCTCAGGTCATGATCACAGGGTCCTGGGATCGAGCCCTGCATTGGGCTCCCTGCTCTGCGGGAAGCCTGCTTCTCTTTCTCCCACTCCCCCTGTTTGTGTTCCCTCTCTCACTGTGTCTCTACCAAATAAATAAATAAAATCTTTTTAAAAAAATAAAATAAATAAGAAATAAATAAGAAGAAAATCTCAATATAAAAATATACCAGTGATATGAACAAACACTTCACAGAAAAGTTAATACCTGTGGCTATTAAACATATGAGAAGATACCCAATCTCAGTCATTATAAGAGAAATGCAAATTAATACTATATTGTGATTCCATTTTCACCTACAATTAATCCATCAAAAATTATAAAAGTTAGATGAATTTTTGATGAAGAAAAATAGCCAAGCCAGTGAAAGAATAAATTGGTATAACCACTATGGGGGACAATTTGTTAACATTTACCTAAATATAAATATGTACATTCCTTGAGAAAGTAAAGTATAATGGCTAAGAGTATAGACTTTACTTTTTTAAGATTTTTTTTTAAATTTATTTGAGAGAGAGAGCACAGAGTGAGAGTGAGAAGGAGAAGCAGACTCCCTGCTGAGCTGAGAGCCCAACACAGGACTCGATCCCAGGACCCTGGGATCATGACCTGAGCAGAAGGCAGACGCTTAACTGACTGAGCCACCAAAAGTATAGACTTTAAAGTTAGGTTGGTTGGCAATACTACCTGCTAGCTCTCTCACCCGAGGCAAGTTGGTTAACCTCTCTGTGCCTCAGTCTCCTCATCTTTAAAATGGAGATGACAAGAAATAGGATAAAATAAAATGGAGATGATAATAGTACTTTCCTTACAGGATTATTAAAAAGATTAAACAAATGGGTTAATATATGTAAAGTGCAGAGAGTCAGAGACAGAGACACAGAGACACAGAGATCCTGCTCATCCTCTTGGCAAATCAAAAGCTTCCTCTTCCTTCTGCACTGTCGCCACCCTTCCTTTCTTTTTTTCCCCGCAGCCATTGACCTGGGGACCTGATGTATTTGAGCAGTTGGGCTGAAAGGAGGAGATGTTGCAATGGAGGAAAATTTAAAAGGTACAGGGACCAGAAGCCCTACCGGCAAAAAAGCACCCTTGAGCCTCCTCTATCCAGCCTGGTCTGGGGTTCTAGAGAATCTTCTGGCTCGGATTGCACAAAGACCCACAGGGAGCAGAGACCCAAAGAGCCCTCGATACTTGCCTCAGAGTGACAGGTGACCCATCCAGCCACTTCCAGTCCCCTTCATGTTCCCTGTCATTCAGCCCCAGCCAGTACACCCGAGGAGAGCCATGAGCCTTGGCCACAAAGTTCTGTAAGTACAAACTCCATTCAGCCATCATTTTAATTACATCAAATATAAGTGGTCTACAAACACCAATTAAGAGCCAGAAATTGTCAGATTGAATTTACAAAACGAGAGATGAACCATGAGAGACTATGGACTCTGAGAAACAAACAGGGTTTTAAGGGGGAGGGGGGAGGGGGGAGGGGGGATTGGTTAGCCCCGTGATGGGTATTAACAGGAGTGCACGTACTGCATGGAGCACTGGGTGTTGTACGAAAAGAATGGATCGTGGATCACCACATCAAAAACCAGTGATGTAGGGGCGCCTGGGTGGCTCAGTTGGTTGAGCGACTGCCTTCGGCTCAGGTCATGATCCTGGAGTCCCAGGATCGAGTCCCGCATCGGGCTCCCCGCTCTGCAGGGAGTCTGCTCCTCCCTCTGACCCTCCCCCCTCTCATGTGCTCTCTCTCTCTCTCTCTCTCAAATAAATAAAAATCTTAAAAAAAAAAAAAAACAGTGATGTATTGTATGGTGACTAACATAACATAATAAAATTTAAAAAACAAAACAAGGGCGCCTGGGTGGCTCAGATGGTTGAGCGTCTGCCTTTGGCTCAGATCGTGGTCCCAGGGTCCTGGGATCGAGTCCTGCATCGGGCTCCCTGCTCCTTGGGAGCCTGCCTCTCCCTCTGCCTCTCTCTCTCTCTGTCTCTCATGAATAAATAAATAAATAAATCTTTAAACAAAACAAAACAAAACAAGACCCATCTATATGCTGCCGACAGGAAATCCACTTGAAAATAAAGACACAGATAGATTAAAGTAAAAAGGTGGGGAAAGATAAACCATGCAAACATCTGGGCTCAAATCCCAGTTCTGACACTCGCTAGCTGTAAGTGACCACAGGCAGGTTTCTTAAATGTATTGTGCCTCAGCTTCCTCATCTGTGAAGTACAAATAGTATGTACTGTGTACAAATTTTGCTATCTAACCATGGTAGCATCAAATCATTGCAGTTCCTTACAAAATGCCAATTCCCCTCCACGGGTGGAATTATTTCCCCACCACCTAAAAGCAGAGGAGGACCTACGTGACTTGCTTTGTGAGTACAAATAAGTGGAAGCTTTCAGAGTTGCCCCTTAACTTTCACCCTTGAGTTACAGGGGCTGTCTGTTATTTCAGCAGAACATAACCTCTCCTGACTCACACACTAAATAACAGGGTTGTTGTAAGGATTATGTTAATGTAAGATATAAGACATCCGGAATGCAGCCTGGAGAATAGAAAGTGCTAAGAGGGCGCCTGAGTGGCTCAGTTGGTTAAGCGACTGCCTTCGGCTCAGGTCATGATCCTGAGTCCCGGGATCGAGTCCCGCATCGGGCTCCCTGCTCAGCAGGGGGTCTGCCTCTCCCTCTGACCCTCCCCCCTCTCATGTGCTCTCTCTTTCTCATTCTCTCTGTCTCAAATAAATAAATAAAATCTTTAATAAAAAAAAAAAAGAAAGTGCTAAGAGATAGCCATTATTATATCTCCAGGTTAGAGAAAAAACTGAGACTCAGGATAAGAAACACAATCAGGATTTAAACTCAAGTAGAGTATGTCCTCTCAACCTTGCTATTAAAAGTCTTAGTGGCTCAAAAGCAATTCCAATTTCTCTCCATCCAGACCAGGGAAGGATATGTGATTCCCACTGATTCTCAAGGGCTTGGAAGGGACAGATCACCTGTTCAGCAAAGCTACTGATGATGACCAAGTGAGAGTAATTCTCCTGGCAGAACTTCCGGGCTTCATCCCATGACTTGGTGGTTGGGGAGAAGTAGTAACACTTCCCCTCAAAGGGTAGCCAACCCTCTGGGCAGGTGACCTTGGTACAGTCTGGGGACAGAATAAGATGCTGTCAGAATGGCCCCAGAGCCAGGGTCATGTACATGGTGTCCCATATACAGTTGTGCAGGCTGTGCAAAGCTCAATTCCAGGGGGCACCATTCAGACAGACTGCAGTGAGAATTGTCCCCCATGGATTTGTGCAATGTGCCAGCTCTGTCATGCCCCCCATCTCAGGGCAGTTCCCCAAGTTCCACTCACCTAATAAGCCCCGAAGTTTTACTAGGGACTGGTTGGTGTAAGTTCTTATGTGGTCAATGTCCTTCTTCAGGCCAGCTATCCCCGCCATGCCAGTCACTGTCAGTAGAGATGGGCTGGAAGGTTAGAAACCCAAACCCCCATCTACCCACCCACCCACCACTGACTGCAAACACACAAGACAGAAGCAAGATCTGTGCCCCCCACTGCACCCTCTTTCTAGTGAGTGGTGCTAGAACTCAAAATGATATGTGCAGTGCCTAGAGAGAGTCCTAGAGTGGCTCAGAGGAGGAACTGATCTCTGAGCCTTGGGGAAGAGTGGAGATGGTGGACTATCCAGAGGAAGATGGTAACTCAGTATCTGTGAGAGGGAGAGAGAGCCTCCACAGGCAGGGGCCACCTTGGAAGCCAAGATAGAGAGGCAAGTGTGTTGGGGAAGGCTGAGGCAGTAGAGGTCAAGGCAAACCTCACAGGAGCTAAAAAGCTCAAAGTAGGATGAGGTCTGATGTCCAAGTCCTTGAATGCTAAGCCAAGAGTTTCATGTTGGAAATGTTGGAGAGGTTGTGGAGAAAGGGGAACCCTTTTACACTGTTGGTGGGAATGCAAGTTGGTATAGCCACTTTGGAAAACAGTGTGGAGGCTCCTCATAAAATTAAAAATAGAACTACCCTATGACCCAGCAATTGCACTTCTGGGTATTTACCCCAGAGACACAGATGTAGTGAAAAGAAGGGCCATATGCACCCCAATGTTCATAGCAGCAATGTCTGCAATAGCCAAATTGTGGAAAGAGCCGAGATGCCCTTCAACAGATGAATGGATAAAGAAGATGTGGTCCATATATACAATGGAATATTACTCAGCTATCAGAAAGGATGAATACCCAACTTTTACATCAACATGGATGGGACTGGAGGAGATTATGCTAAGTGATATAAGTCAAGCAGAGAAAGTCAATTATCATATGGTTTCACTTATTTGTGGAACAGAAGGAATAGCACAGAGGACATTAGGAGAAGGAAGGGAAAAATGAAGGGGGGGAAATCAGAGGGGGAGATGAGCCATGAGAGACTATGGACTCCGAGAAACAAACTGAGGGTTTTAGAGGGAAGGGGGGGTGGGGGATGGGTTAGCCCGGTGATGGGTATTAAGGAGGGCACATACTGCATAGAGCACTGGGTGTTATATGCAAACAATGAATCATGGAACACTACATCAAAAACTAATGATGTAATGTATGGTGATTAACATAACATAATAAAAAAAAATCTAAAAATAAAAATAAAAATAATTAAAAATAAAAAATAAATACATAAATAAACTAATGATGTACTGTATGGTGACTAACATAACATAATAAAATTAAATTTTAAAAAAAGAGTTTCGTGTTGGACTCTGGGCAGTGCGAAACCATCAGTGGGTTTTGAGCAGAACAGTGGCTTGATCTGAGATGTGCAGAGAAGGCATGCACATATAATGGAACAATTTTCAGACTTCAACAAACATGGTGAAGGCTGTGCCAGCCCAGAAGACTTTGCTACAACTAATGTGTGTATTCCCACTAATCCCACACAAAAGCGCCCTCTTCCAGCTTGACATCCTTCCCTCTTACTGCCATTCCCAGTCCATCTCTAGGTCCAGTCACTTTTACCTCCTAAACCTTTCTGCTCTACCCACTTCTGTTCATCTTCATGGCCACAACTCTCATCCAAGCCACCATCACCTCTCACCTGTCCAACTGCACCATCCTCTTCCCTTGTACTTATGATGTTGCCTCTTACCACAGGGCCTTTGCATATACCTGAAACCCTCAACCTCTCATGTGATTAATTTTTTCTCTTCCCTCAATCAACTGTAGCGCTCTTTCCCTAGGGAAGCCCTGTATGGCCCTCCCAAAGATAGGGTCAAGATCCCTAACTAGATTTTTTTCATAGAATGATCTTCCTTTGGACTATTCATTGAGATTTGGAATTGTATGCTCATTTGACTGATAATTTGGTAAATGGCTCTCAGTACCTGCCTGTGCTGTCCAACAGAAATAAAATATAAACCACATACATAAATTTAAATGTTCTAATGGCCATGTTTTCTAAGAGTCAAAAGAAGCAGGCAAAATTAATTTGAATGTTATTTCTTTACTTATGCCAATATATCCAAAGTATAATTTCAATGAGTAATCAATATTAAAGATTATTATTATTAATATTGTTGAGATATTTTACATTCTTTTTCTGTAGCAAGTCTTTGACATTGGTGTATATTTCACAATTACAGCACATCTCAGTTCGGAATGACCACACTGCAAGTGCTCAATAGCCAGTGACTCATGGCCACCATATTGGACAGTGAAGGTCTAGACACACATGCACACAAACATGCACACACACTCCACAGGAACAGGAACTGTGCCGGATGTGTTCACTATCCTACCCATGCCCCAATACCTAACACAAGACTTGGCAAAGATGGGATTGGAAGTGGTCTTGGAGTTGGGTTTGAGGGGTCATGTTGGGTGTTCAATATGGATGGCATGAAGGGACAATTGAAAGCACTCACCATTTGCTTGCCACGCCATCTGCTGAAAGGTTAATATCTTTAGCTCTTCCACCATCTCCTGGTCTATGAGGAAGAATCCATCTTGAGCCCAGTCCTTCCATGCCCAATGCTCAGTTTCTCCCCATGCCCCATCCTCTTCTTACTCACACTTAATCAGGGTCACAGCCAGACCAGTGCAGCCCAGGAGCAGTGACACCACCACCAGCAGGCACAGGTACACCACCAGTCTCTCCTCCTGGTAGCACCCAGGACACCTGGACTTCTGACTGAGGTGGGTCACTGGAGTTACTGGGGGATGAGGACGGGGACAGAGAGACCAATATTGGTGCTTCAGAGAGTGAGGAAGAGACACTTGAGCCTCTCTCCAAAAGCAGAGGGACCGAGATCCGTGGTCATGACTGTATCACCAGATGGGGTCAGCAAGAGAGGGTCAAGGGAAAAGAACCCTGAAGAAGCCCAGAAGAGCACTTACTGTGCTCCAGGGCCACCCCTTTCCCAAATGTAGCCCCCTTCCCATCTCCAAACGAAGCCACACCTCCACCCCCATCTCCACTTCCAAATCCAACACCATCACTGTAACCTAACACAACTACAACCTAACCTAGAATGCTGAAGAGAACTTACTGTGTGCCAAGTATCATGTCACATCCTTATTATCTTATTGGATCCTCATCCTTATGACATAGATGTAACTATTATTCCCAATTTGCAAATAACTAACCTGAAGGCTTGGAGAGGTCATGTATGACTTGGACCCAGCACTGCTCCTAACATTTATGATGCATTATCTTGTACTCTCCAGCATCCCCTGCCCAAGCTGCTCCCCATTCCAGGATGCTTAAGGGCCTTTGCATCAGCGGCAGAGAATGCTTCCCGTACCTTATGCAAGTAGGAGGTGGGGCCTGAAGAGTATCAGGCAGACGCCCTGGGTCCCTCAGGGTCTGGTCTAGACTCAGAAAGGAAGAGCTTCTGAAAGGACACTTTTCTCTGCCCCAGGGTCTTCCTCTGGGGTCATAGGTCTGATTCAAGCATACTTGACAGGGAAGATAGGGGCCCACCTGGAGGGCATGAGGACTTACTAGCTAGGGATGACTGGAACGGAGGATGTTCCAGATTGACACCTGGGAGAAAGGGAGAGGAAAGTTTATTCAAAAGTTGTTGGGGGGAAAAGTTGCTGAAAGACTCTGTCTTCCAAGATCAACACCTCCCCCAACCCATCTGATTTGTTCTCTGGTCAGAATTGAGGAAGTGGAGGGAAGACTTCCAGGTGTCCCCTCCCAGACTTCTTAAAGGATCTTCCCACTGCTCACCCAGTTGAGGAGATGTGCGGGGGACAGGGGTGAGGTCCAGGCCTAGGGATCAGAAAGACAATGGTTATGCAGACCAGGGCTTCATCTAGGTAAACCAAAGGCCCCAGCCCTAGATTCTCACCTTTGATCTTTGGGGACTTGCAGGGAAGTGGGGGGTTCTCCATTTTCTTTCCTGGGGTGGGGAGGGGGAGGAATGGTTGCTCAGGTCCAGAGCAGGACAAAACCAGCACTGGGTCTCCTGAACCCCCAGCCCCAGCTCACCTGCTCTCGGAGGCCTTGGTGGAGCCAGTGAATCTGCAGAAGAGAAGTTCAGAATTAGAGCTGGTATGAGGGTTGGAAACAGATTGGAGGCAGCGATGGAACCAGGACTGGGACTAAAATGGAGGGCTAGGGATAGGGTTGAGCATAAGAATGTAATTGGGGGTAGGGATGGGGTTAATTGGGGGTAAGGATGGGAGTAGATGATGAGGATTAAGATAGAGTGACCGACCATCCTGGATCACCCAGGACTTGCCCAGTTTTAAAACTGGAAGTCCCACGTCCCAGGAAATCACTCAGTCCTGAGCAAACTGGGACAACTCTTCACCCTCAGTTAAAGACACAGGTGAGTTTGGGCTAGGGTTGCAGTCAAGCTGTGGTTGGGATGAGGATGGGATTGAAGATGGGTTAGGGACAGTGGTGGACATGGCATTAGGGTTGTGATTCAGGATGTGGTAGAGATAAAGATTGGGACTGGAGCTGCACTGGGGTAGGAGGAGGAAGTCACAGTTAGGTTTTAGTTGCGTTGAAGTAGGGTGATGACTTTGGATTTAGAAATAAAGATGGGGGTGGAGATTGGCTGCAATCAGAGATGGGGAGGGGGCTAACTTTGGGGAAGGGATAGCACTGATGATCAGATGGAGGAGTCCATCTTGGTGGTGGGTTTGAGAACTGGATGGGACCAAGTGGGAGCTGAGAGACAGACAAACAGCTGAGCCTAGTTCACCTCCTACCTCATTCTGGGCCCCACGGTGCCCAGGGACCTCCCAGTTTGGTCTCCGTCCAGATTAAATAGTGGTGGATGCAGCACCCACCCCTCATGGAATGGCCACTGTCCAAGGACAGCAACACAGCACAGTCAACCTTCAGGGCCCTAGTGTGAATTGGCTCGGGGAAACCTCAACGCCTTCATTTTTTTTTTAAAGACTTCACTTTTATACCCACTTAGCAGACTTTTGATGAGTCCTGGGCCAGGTATGGAGCACCCAAGTCTCAAGGTCGATCTGGGCCCAGAGTGTGAATGCGAGGAAGTTGGGGAGCCATGGGTGCACGCTCACAGTTTTATGAAACACCAGCTTTCATGTCCCAGGACCTTTGCATCCACCAGTTCTCTGCTGGGCTTCTCTTCCTAACAAACTCCAACTCATCCTTTAAGTCCCACTCCAATATCCCCTCCTCTGACCCCAATCTCCCACCACTCAATTCCCCTTGAGATTTCCCCATTCTCCTCGTCCTTCCCTTCTCAGACCTGCTCACCTGAGTCTGTGCCCAGAACTGCCTCTCTCATCAGACAGAGAGATCCCCAAGGGCAGGGTGGAGACACAGACACATACTCCTGCCAACATGGTGCCTGGCACGAGCTGGGTACACAGGAGGCTGATTGTGTGTCTATAATGCCCAGCTAATGTCCCCTGGGGACCCTGCTTTCCCCAGGCTACAGAACACACATTCCTTCACCTGGCCTCTGAGAAGTCCTCTTACCTGGCTTGGGAGGAAGATCCTTGTAGGGTGGCGCCATGTTCTCATAATCATCACCATCCTCCTCCTCCTCCTCCTCTCTGGTCCCTTCCAGAGGAAAGGCAAGTGAGAGCCCAGCCCATTCCCTCTGTCCCTCAGGCCCTAGTTTCCAGCCACAGGGTGGGGAATACTGTAATCTGGGTCCCGACCATCCCTGGCCCCCAGCTCAAGCCTGGCCAGGGCCATACCTGGCAGGTCCTGGCACCCAGAGTTGGTATACATGTACATGGTTGCAGCTCACCCAGGAGCCTGAGAGGGAGAGGCAGAGCTGGACAGCTTCTGCCTCCTATACCTCCTGCTCAGGTGCCTGGGGCTCTCTCAGTTCCCTTTTTCGTCAAAAGTCAAGTACATGCAAATCCACCTTAAGGGAAACCACCCAAACCACACACACACACACACACACACACACACACCCCTTTCTCCTAGTTTGGATTCATGCACAGGAGTGACAAAGACAGCAACCCCTACATTCGAGTGCGAGGCCCTGGGTGGAAAAGATGGATAAGCTCCTTCCTTCAAGGAACTTTCCATCAAGACAAGACAGACACTGAAATAGCATAAACATAGAAATAAACAATATGGTTTGGTTTTTTATTTTATTTCCAGTAGTCACTAAGCATTATTTAAAAATAAAATTAGGGGCGCCTGGGTGGCTCAGTCGTTAAGCGTCTGCCTTCGGCTCAGGTCATGATCCCAGGGTCCTGGGATCGAGCCCTGCATCGGGCTCCCTGCTCAGCAGGAAGCCTGCTTCTCCCCTCCCCCTGCTTGTGTTCCCTCTCTCGCTGTGTCTCTGTCATATAAATAAATCTTTAAAAAATAAAAATAAAAATAATAATAAAATTAAATGGAGTAAGGGGATAGGACAGGGGCTAATGTAGAGAGATAAAGAGGGAAGGCACCCTGGAAGTGACATTGCAACAAAATGTTAAAGTGATAAGTGCTAAGTACTCCTGCATTCCACAGTGAGGTGCTAGGTCACTGGCCCAGTTATCTCTGACTGCATAATGACAGCAAGCACTTATCGTCTCGCAGTTTCTGTGGCTCAGAGTTCAAGAGCAGCTTGTCTGGGTGGTTCTGCTCAGGACCTCTCTTTTATACCCACTTATCAGACAAGTCAAGAGGCTCCCCGGGGCTGTGGTCTCTGACGGCTGTGCTGAGGCTGGAGGATCTGCTTCCAAGATGAAGCGCTCTCTAAAAAGGGCTGATTGAGCATCCCCCCAGTGGCTGCATCTTTTGGTCTAGCAGGGATGTGGGAGTTCCCTGTGAGCCAAGTGAAGGCGGTAGAATAACCAGGCTGGAGCCATTTGGAGAACTCTGCCCATGAAGGCAGCCTGCCTGTGCTTCTCCAGAGGACCGCCATCAGCCTTTGGAGCCTACAGTCTTCGAATCATCCATCACTCCTCTCTTCTCTCATTCCGTGACCCTGGCAAACTGAATTTTCAAAAGATGGCTGCAACAGTATCTCTTTGTGCTACATGTTCTTATGCAATGTGACCTTGCCACTCCATCAAGAAGTAGAGTCCAGGGGCTGCTGGGTGGCTCAGTCGGTTGAGCATCCGACTCTTGATCTCAGCTCAGGTCTATGATCTCAGGGTTGTGAGTTCAAGCCCCACATTGGGCTCCATGTTGGGTGTAGAGCCTACTTAAAAAAAAAAAAATTTTTTTTTTTTTTAATTAAAAGAAGTAGAGTCCAGTTCTCCTCCCCTTGAATCTGGGGTGGTGTTAGTGATTCCTTTATAACCAACAGAATGTGGTGGAAGTGAGGCAGCCTGCATCTGGCTCTGTCAGAACACATGCTCCCAGCCGCCATGTCGTGAGGAAGCCCAAGCCACACGGAGGTGACCCACTCAACAGTCCCAGCTGAGGCCAGACTTCAAGTCATCCCAGCCCAGGTGCCAGGCATATGAGTGAAGGCACCTCCTGATGTTTCCTGACCCCAGGACAGGAGAGTCACCTCCAGCCTGCTAAGTCTTCCAATCTGAGGCTCCAGAACATTGTGGAGCGGAAACCAGCTGTCCCATAGAATCTGTGAGCTACTGAAGTGACTTTTTTTTTTTTTTTTTTTTTGGCCACTAGGTTTGAGGTGGTTTGTTCGATAGCCTAGATATTGGAAATCTGACAAATCTGTTAGAAATTCTGGTTGGCTCTACCTTCGCAATATACCCAGCGTCTGAGCTGGGCTCGCCTCCCATCAGCAGCTTTCACTTGGATTACAGTAAGAGCCTCCGCCTGGTCTGCCTACTTCTGACCTTGCCCTCCATATAGTGGGACCCATAGAAGCAGACCGGTAGTCGCCCGGGGCTGGGGGAGGAGAAAATTGGGTAGATGTTGGTTAAGGGGCACAAAGTTTCAGTTCTGTAAGATGAATAAGTTCTGGAGGATCAGTGTACAACTATAGTTAAGAGTATTGTACCGTGTACTTGAAATTCACTGTCAGGGGGCGCCTGGGTGGCTCAGTTGGTTAAGCGACTGCCTTCAGCTCAGGTCATGATTCTGGAGTCCCGGGATCAAGTCCCACATCGGGCTCCCTGTTCAGCAGGGAGTCTGCTTCTCCCTCTCCCGCTCCCCGCTCTTGTGCTCTTTCTCTCTCTCACTCTCTCTCTCAAATAAATAAATAAAATCTTTAAAAAAAAAAAAAGAAATTCACTCTCAGGGTAGATCTTGAGTCTTCACACACACACACACACATAAAGAAAGCAAGAAAGAAAAAAGGAAAGTGGTAACTATCAGGTGATAGATATGTCGATTGGCCCGGTTGTGGTGAATATTTCACAGTGTACATGTATATCAGGTCATCAGTCTGTACATCTTAAATAACATGTAATATCTGATTTATCTTGGGGAGAGGGGAAAGAAGTCTGAAATCAAGGTGTTGGCAGAGCCATGCTCTTTCCAGACGCTCTAGGGGAGAATCCTTTCTTGCCTCTTCCAACTTCCAGAGCTCTTGGCATCTCCTGGCTGGGGCCATGTCCCTCCAGCGTCTGCCTGAGTGGTCACCCCGCCTCTCCCTGTCTGTGTCTGTGTCTCAAGCCTCTCTCTCCTTTTTCTGAAGTTTTATACCATGCTGGTGGCTTTGAAGATGCAGGAAGGGGCCACGAGGCAAGGAATGCAGCTCTAGAAGCTTAAAAAGACAAGAAAACAGATTCTCCCACTAGAGCCTCCGAGGGAATGTAGCCTTGCTGACATGTGTCAACCCCATCAAACAATTTAAACTTCCGACCTCGAGAACTGTCAAAGAGTCCGTTACTGTTATATAGCCGCTGAATCTGTGGAGATCTGTGATGGTAACCACAGGACACTATTCCATACTGCAAGGGGCAAGACCCCAATTCCCCCTCTAAGGGGCTTTCCGCTAAAAGCAAAAGGAATCACAATTCAAATTGGCCTGAGCAACAAGGAAATCCCATCAAGACTGTACACAAGTTAGAATATTAGGCTAGGCTACTGTAATAGAAGTTCAGAACAAGAGCAGCTTAAAATAGAATTTCTTGCCTCACAGATCAATATAAGCAACCCACAGTCTCCAGAAGCGGAAAATCTTCACCAGCACATGAGGAAGGAGCGTGACCCAGCCCTAGTTGGGGGTGGGGGGTGTGATGACAACAGACCAGCCTCCCTCTCCAGAGAAAACTCACCCCAGGGGCTGGGCTTTCCCCTGTTAACACTGCATGATGTAATTAATGTGCAGAACCTCCCCAGCCTGCCTGAGGCGTACATGCAGCCATTCCCATTCTACAGATGGAGAAATGGAGACCTCTGAGAAAGAAGGAGCCTGTCTGCTGAGCACACACAGGACCATCAGGCTCCAGATGGATAAGTGGCGTCAGAGGGGAGGGAGAGGACGGAGGTGGGGTTACACCAGCCAAGTGGACTGATAGCATCTCTGCCCATCAAGGGCGCCCCTTGAGGTGAGTGGACCTAGGGCAAGGAAGTGCAGTGATGGCTGGATGGTCTCACTGTGAGGAGGTACTGGCCATAGCCAATGCCATCCTTTGGGACCTGCCACACAGTAGGTGCTCAGGAACTAGTAGAGCAATCCAGTCCCATCAGCTAGATAATAAGGCCATGAGCCCAGGCTAACCCCAGCTATGCCCCATTCTTGCTGTGTGACCTAAGGGGAGTAGAACATCTCTGAGCAAAGGTCTTCTGATATGTCCAATGGGGAGTGGGGATTCAGTTGTTCATTCATCCATTCAATAGACATGTATTGACAACCTACTATGTGTTAAGCTATGTTCTAGGTACCAGGGATATAGTGCTGAACAACAACAACAAAAAAACAAAACAAAACCAAAAAAAAATCCCTCGCAATAAAAAGGAAGATCACAGAATGGAAATCTTACCAAGCATGTTTTCAGACTAGAACCGAATTAAATTAGAAATCACAGAATGATATCTGGAAAATCCACAGGTATTTGGAAATTAAATCACACCCACAGGTCAAAGAGGAAGTCAAAAATTAAAAATATTTTTAATTGGGGGCACCTGGGTGGCTCAGTAGGTTGAGCCTCTGACTCTTGATTTCGGCTTCTGACTTCTTTCAATTCTCAGGCTTTCTGAGAGGTCATGATCTCAGGGTTGTGAGATCCAGCCTTGTGGCGGGTTCCGTGCTGATCGTGGAGCCTGCTTAAGATTCTCTCTCTCTGGGGCACCTGGGTGGCTCAGTTTGTTAAGCATCTGCCTTCAGCACAGGTCATGATCTCAGGGTCCTGGGATCGAGCCCTGCATCGGGCTCCCTGCTCAGTGGGTTGCCTGCTTCTGCCTCTCCCTCTACATCTCTCCCACTTGTGCTCTCTCTTTTTCTGTCTCAAATAAATAAAATCTTTTTTAAAAAAATATTCTCTCTCTCCTTCGCCCTCTGCCTTTGCCCCTCACTCGTGTGTGCTCTCTCTCTCTAAAAAAAATATGTTTTTTAATTGAATGAAAGTGAAAGCGTTACATATCGAAATACGTGGGGTGCAGCCAAAGTCGTGCTAAGGAGGCAACATAGAACACTAAGTGCTTATGTTTAAGCAGGTGATCGAGTATATTTGAAAGTTGCTAAGAGTCCTTTTGTTGTTGTTTTCAAGTAACACTCTCAGGAACATCTGTTTTTACATGTGTTTCTAGACAATTCTCTACGTTCATTACAGAATTGCCTACACATCCATTCACTAACACAGTTCACAACTAGCCAAATAGGGAACACTCATAAAAACATGTATTTTCCCACGTGTCATTAACTACAC